CTGAGGCCCTTCCTCCAGCCTTGCCTTATGTAATTTGAGATGGTCCATTTAGCAGATGATGCTACTGAGGCCCCCAGGGAGAAGCCAGAGTCCTGAGGTCACCACTCAGATGGCCAGTGACCCATTAGGTTCCAATTTAAAATCTAGGTGAGGCAGAAGAGGAGGCCAGTGGAGTTTGGGGACCAGCTTCTCAAGAGGAGGTGTTGCCTGCTATGGACTTCAGAGAGCCAAGATGCAGAAGCCAGGGGAGAGACCCTCCTTTCCAGGCATCAGTTCTGTGATTTCAGGAAGAAGTATTAATGTAGAACTCGGCCATGGTGGGGGAGGGACCAGAAGGAACTCCTTGACAAAATAAATAGATGAGTCAATTAAAAAGGATGGAGTTAGGGGCTATTTATAGCTATGGCCTAAATCACAGGTATCCTTGCCCCCAAGGAGGAAAAGGAGACCTTTTTTTGGGTGGCCCAGGCTGTATACATGACTAAGCTGATTAAGACCTGGGTTTCGGAGGGTGGGAGAGTGGAAAGAGTCTGAGTGACTGACTGACAACTCAGGGAAGGCGAGGGGCGGGGGGCACTGCTTGGCCAGACAGCGGGTGGGGAGAGGCAGTCCCTTTACGGAAATGGCCTGGCCTGGGGCAGCCCCTAGAGTTGGCTGTCTCCACCATTCCCTGGACTTTATCCTCATGATTGCTTTAGCTTGATTGAACTTAATGGTTGAAAACAAGCCCTCTTTCTTAGCCGGAGGGTGGGTGTTTAGCGATCGCAGCTGGTATCACTGACTCTCACCTGTTCTGAGTATAATTAAGTGGGAAAACACTTAGCAAGGCCTGCGTGGCACGTGGATGTCTGTTGTTGCTGTCACAGCCACCTGCCATATAGCCACCGTGCCACGTGCCTCTATCCGGCCTGTGAAAGCAACTGTGCTTTGGAGATTTGGGCTCTTAATTTTAGGGGGTTAATTTGCAAAGTGGCCCCTCTACCTTCGGCCACTGTCAGTATTCTCCTGTGCCAAGTTGAAGGGGGTAGGACTTTGTGTTGTTAGCAGCAATGACCTGGAAATAATCCTGAGCTCAGCAGGTAAGGATCCAAGACTCAGGAGTGTGCTTCTTCCGGGCTGTGTAAACCTCAGTCAAGTGGCTTAACCTCGTGAGCCTTGATTGGGCATCTACAACGTGGAGTAATGGCTCTCATCTCACTGACTAGTAAGGGTTGAATACCGAGAGCCTGGAATGTACTGGCTGAGCAGGTGGGTGTCTCTCCATGTGCATATGACATTTCCAGAGTGCTTTTGTCCCTGCAGGCTAAGATGCTCTGAAGTCCCATTACCTTTGGACTAATTAGGAGATAAGTGAGCGTCGGCAATCATTGGAGAAGGATTTAAGGGAAGAAGGGAAATATTTAGCCTGATTAAAAAAAAAAAAAACTGTTATTAGGTAGAATTATATAAAGCACCCAGAGCTGTGTGGCCACATGTCAGCTGCAGTTATTATTTCAACCATAGGAAAACAGTTGGAATTAGAGGAACAAAAGGTTGCTATGACTACAGCAAACCCAGGTCCTTTTCAGTGCACCTGGGGCAGGCCCAGCCCTTGCCTTGGAACAGAAAGCAATCTGAGGCCACCAGAGAAGGTACAGGATTACTGCTGGGGAACCAGAGCCACATTGCTGGGAGATGGATGTAGGTTGGGCAGGGAGGGCTTCCCTGAGAAGGTAGCAGTGAGGAGGGGGGAGAGCCAGAAATACTTTGGGGTGCCTGGGGGTACACCCCACTGTGAATTTGTTAGGGCCTGCATGATGTGGGAGGGAATCCTCCCTTCCCCCATGGTACTGAGGGTGGAACCAGGGGCTATGTGTATGCTAGGCAAAGCTCTGCCACTGAACCATACCCTAAGCCCCTCTTAGAGATTTTTTTAAAGGTGTATTTTTATTTTATGTGTATGAATGTGTGCCTGTATATATGTATGTGTACCATGTGGGTGCAGTGCTCACAATGGTCAGAAGAGGGCATTGGATCCCCTGGAATTAGAGTTATGGATGGTTGGGAGCCAGCAAACTCTATCTAATTTTCTGCAAGAGTAAGTGCTCTTAACTACTAACCCATCTCTCTAGCCCCATGGAGATTTTTTTTAAGGTGACAAGTTATTTTCCCCATGATGTAAAAGAGAAAACATTTTCTTTTTTTTTTTTTTGGTTTTTCAAGACAGGGGTTTCTCTGTGTAGTTTTGGTGCCTGTCCTGGATCTCGCTCTGTAGACCAGGCTGGCCTCGAACTCACAGAGATCCGCCTGACTCTGCCTCCCAAGTGCTGGGTTAAAGGCATGTGCCACCACCCGGCAAGAAAACATTTTAAATCTTATTTTGTGTGCATTGGTGTGAGGGTGTCAGATCCCCTGGAACTGGAGTTACAGACAGTTGTGAGCTGCCATGTAGGTGCTGGAAATTGAATCCAGGTCCTCTGGAAGAGCAGCCGGTGCTCTTAACTGCTGAGCTATCTTTCCAGCCCCCAGGAAAACTTTTTTTTTTTTTTGGTTTTTTTGAGACAAGGTTTCTCTGTATAGTTTTGGTGTCTGCCCTGGATCTCGTTCTGTAGACCAGGCTGGCCTCAAACTCACAGAGATCCACCTGACTCTGCCTCCCGAGTGCTGGCCTTAAAGGTGTGTGCCATCACCGTTTGGCGAAAACATTCCTAATAGCAAAAAAAAAAAAAAAATAGGGATGGACTGGGTGCATCTTGCTGGCAAAGCACCTGACTAGCATTTGAAACCCTGGGCTACATTCCCAGCACTGCATAACAGACAAAAGAACTGTAATACTAGGGACCCTGTCTCCCCAGTAGTACCAGCAGGTGAAGGCTTTGTCCCAGATAGACACAGGCCGTGAGTCTACACAGCCATGGCGGCAAAGTTCTTTGGGGAGATAGGAGTCTGAAGCAGTGATCCCTACTGTCCTCAGCCCTCCACCATGGGCACCTCCCCTGAGGAGATCGAAATGACTGGCATAGGAGAGGAGACAGGGAGGGGCAGTGGAGGTTGAGGTGTTAGGGTGACACCCGTGTTTGAGCCCTGGCAGGGAGGGAGCCAGTGGACACTCAGCACCCACGTCCTGGCTGCCAGAGGTTTCGGGAGAATGGTGGTCACTTTTGTCATTGTCTTGTCAGCTGGGGCTTTGAAGACCCTGTGGTGCCAGCTGCTGCTCTAAGGACCTCGGTGAGGCCATCTAATTAATCGCAACAGTGCTACCGAGCGGGGGCCCACTCTCTAGGGACTGCTTTGTGAGTGCTTTCTCCCTGAGAGAGACCGGTGTGGGAGGGGCAGTGGGGCTCCAGATGTGGAGTTCCCCAGCCAGCTGGTTTAACCTCACTTCAGTGAGGGACAGTCTGTCTTCAGCAGTGGAGATCGAGGCCTCCAAGGTCTGCCCTGTTGCTGGTATTCCCTGGCAGGTGTTTCTCTGGGAATATTCTGTTTCCACCACCTTCGGAGACCTTGTCCCCTCCCCCACAAATCCAAGCCATGTCCCTGTGGTATGGTGCCATCTATGAGAGGCTAGCCCAGCTATTTTTTTGCCCTTACTGGGATGCTGAGTAAACCCAGGTCTTTCTAAGTGCACCTGGGGCAGGCCAGCCCCTGCCCTGGGACAGAAAGCAATCTGAGGCCACCAGAGAAAGTACAAGTTGGGGAACCAGAGCCACATCGCTGGGAGCTGAGGGGGAGCTTCTGTGGCCCTGGCTGCCCACTGTGGCTGGGAGCCTCTAACACTTTCCCCTTGGATCAGACAGGTGGGCCCCACTTAACTGCCCAGCCCCAGAAGCCACCCCACCAGCCCTCGCCTTTGTCTCTCAAACTTCTTCCAGTTAAGGCGGGTGAAATGTGTGGCCCTGTCTAGAGTTGGAAAGAGCTGCCTCAGAAGGGCTTGAAAGGCCTTCAGTGTTGCTAGCCACCGTCCACCCCTCCCCCACCCCCCTGGCACATGTGCGATGCATCTGCCAAACAATGGCTCTTCCACTGGTCAGTTTTGTTTGACATTTTATCCAGTGCCTCCCAGTTTACAGCCCCGCCCTTCCCAGCCTTGATTCTAAGACTCCTGGGAAGCGGATGTAGCAGGTGAGATTTCTGGGCTCCACCTTAAAGACTGAGTCAATAGGTACAGATGGGTCCTGGTACTCACGCCCTAGCTTATATCCCAGGGTTCTACAGACCATCAGACCAAAGGCTTGCCGCCTGGGAGTGGTAGGTAGCACACACTTTTAATTGGGAGGCAGAAGCAGAGGGAACTCTATGAGTTCAAGGCCAGCCTGGTTTATATGATGAGTTTCAGGCCTGCCAGGGCTACACGGTGAGACCCTGTGTCAAAAACAAGGTGACGACACCAAGGTTTCTCAAACAGATTTTGAAACTTTGCCCGAAGTTTCCCAGTTCTGAACCAGAGCCGAGCCCCAGGTGAATGGTAGGTGTGATGTCACAATATGGGATGGCCAAGAAGGCTTCCAGTCTAGGTGGTATCCCCTTAAACATGGGTGCTCCAAGAGTATAGAGATGGCAAGAGGAGTTTGAATACCAGGGAATGTGGTGGTCCTGGGACACCAAAGGGGCTCACCTACCCAAGACCAGATAGGAAGGGTTGGTGGAGCTTGGGTTCCGGGTGAAGTTCTGGGAGAGCCCTGCAGGCAGCTGGGAGTCACCGCTAGCTCTTGAGCCGGGCCTGACCCAGCTGCCAGGCAGAGATTGCTAGAAGTGAACCGGGAGCATGCCTCTGAGGAGTCTCCAGCGGTTGGTGTGGCTGCATCTTGTGATGCCACCTAAGTGGCAGGTCACGAGAAGGCACTGCTGGGTCCCGGGGGGACATCATCAGAGCTTACCTGGGCTAGCAGTGGAGAGGAAAATGCTGGGGTTGCTCTGGGAGATGCCCATGGCACAGAGGAAGACACAGCTGTGCTGTGTCAACCTCCAGATACTCCCCCCCTCCCCCCGGCGTGGATTTTAACGCTGAGTTTTTCTTCTAGCCAAGCAGTAGCTGGTGTTAGGCACCATCTCGTAGCCCTGGAAGCCGCTGTCACTGCCATCCGCTGCACCAACGTCCGTCAGCCTGACAGAGTTAGATATGAATCCCGTGCACCCAGGTTTGCGATAGGAGTTTATTCTCTGCCTCTGGCACCTACTATATCCGCAGAGTAGGGGTGTCAGGAGTGTCCCCACTCCCCCCCCACCTCCCTCCAGTTCCCTCTCTGGAACATCTCTCCTGCGGCCATCCATGTTGGGCCACCCATGGCAGAGTGCTGTAGGGCCGGGGCTTTGGTTTGCTCTCCTACAGAGCGGGACTGTGTATGGATGTGCCGGGGCTTCTGAGGCCCTATCATGCAGCTTCCCAGGGAATTCCCTGGTACTTGACAAACCTTTGGGGAAACACCGCAGCCAGTTCACCCCAGAGTCATTTGGAGAGCTACTCAGGGAATGTGTTGTGTAATCAAATGGAAGTCAAGATTCAGGGCTCTCCAAAACAACAAGAATCTTCATCTTCTTGGGGGAAGTTGCGCTCTGAGGCTGAGAACAGGTTCCTGGTCACTCTCTTTTGCCCACAGTCTTAAGTGTTTGTCACTGAACTTTGTTGTGGCCCTGCCAGCACCCCCCGCCCACCCCCACCCCGCACTGAGCCTCAACAGGGTCCTCAACACTCTCTCTGATGTGTGTGTACTGTGTCCTGAAGTCAGGAAGCCGCTGGAACTCTGGTGGGAGGGGAGCCAGCACAGGCTGGTGATGTGGTGGCCATCACTGCCTGGTGAGGGTTCTGTTCAGTACTCTTGAATGGTCTAGTGTCCCTGGTCAAGGGCACTCGAGCCAAGGTGTGGGGTGTGAGAAAGCATCCTGTGGAGGTCTTCGGCTTCGGGAAGTAGGGACAGGGAAGCAGGCACAGCTTCCCCTTTGCCCATAACTGAGGGTGGTTCTGGGTAGGTGATTGCTCCTGCCATGCTTTTAGGTCATAGTCTGATTGGGCTTTGGTGCTCGGAAGGAAGGATGTCCTTCCTGTGGGACACAGAGGAGAGGGAGTATTTACAAATAACACACTGTGCCCAGACATCACACCCACTGCACAGAAGGTAAGCCTGAGGCCACCTAGCAGAGTATACTGCCTGCTCTCCATGAAGCCATGACTTCGGACCCTACGGGTGACAACTTTAGGGGCCTGGTAGTGTGGAGGGGTCACAAGGCGGCCTAACACTTGGGACTTGTCTTGCATTTCTGTAGAGCAAGAGAAGGGCTCTGCTTCCCTTTCCTACAGAGCACACAGGTTTCAGCCTTGGGCTTCTGTAGCTTGAAGGCGGGGAGGTTTGTGGAAGTGGCAGAGGCCTCCAGAAATAATCCTGGGCTCCACAGTGCCTGCCCCAGGACCCTGGTGCCCCACCCCCACCTCAAGAGGCCCATGGCCCTGATGCTGGGGAAGTGACGCTGTTGGAGGTGAATGACAGCCCTGTGGCTGGGTGAGTCAGTGCCAGGAGCCCAGGCCTGCTGACTCACCCTCCCCTGGCTCCTCAGCTGAGGGGGAGGAGAAAGCGGGGAGGAGCAGAGCTGCCCCTTCAGAGCCAAGAGCTTGTCCACCTAGGAACTAAAGGAGACAGGTGGTTGGCAAGTCAGGAGCCAGGCGCCCCTGAAGCGCTCTTTGTGTGTACAAAGTCTTCAGGTGCCCACACCCGGCCCTGCTTCTCAGGCAGGCCCAGAGCACCCAGGAGACACCGTGGTGTGGTCAGGCCTCCCTACTTCCTCCTTCTCCCTTTCCCCCCACTTTTCTTCGCTCCTTCATCTGCCTCTCCCCTCCTTCTTGCCCTCCCTTCTCCTCTCCCCCTTCCTCCCCCCCACCTCCTCCTCCTGCCTAGCTTTGTTACCACAATGCTGAATGGCATTTGGTAACTAGGTTACTCCCCCAACCCCCAGCCCCCAACCTGGGCTTTGGGTGTCTAGCTCAGAGGGAAGGGATCTTCCCTGTACCCTCTCTTTGCAGCCTCTTTTACCTCAGAAGCCCTCCTGCCTTTCCTCTGAACTTCCCATCATTTTTGTGTTGTTTTAATAAAATGTGCTTCCCCGCTGTCTCTGATTTTAGGGAACAATAGGAAGACCCTGTAACCAGACCAAACAAGTACATGACAGGCAGGTGACAGATGGGGCTTTGTTTCCACACAGCCACCTCCTGCCACCAGGGAGAACTGCCACTCTGAGCCAGGCCCAGAGTCACGTTTTGTAGAAGGGGGGGGGGGGGGCACGACTCTGTGCTTTGCAGAGCTCGGCTTCGTTTCTGGAGTCTGGTGCTAGCCCTGCACTTAGAGACGTGTCTTCCTTATATCACCAGCCGTGGACCTTCGACCGGAAGGAAGGAGGTCAGCTACCCTCGGTCCTTTGCACGCAAAGGCAGATGCCTTCCACTCATCCCATGAGTGGCTCTGCCCAGGAAGGCAGTAGGTAGCTCCAGGGCGTTGGGGTTAAATGACCAGAAAGTCATATAACACTCCAAGCAGACCCTTCAGACCCTCTTCCTGAGCTGGACGGAGGACTAGCCAGGGACTCAGGGAAAGCTGGGGCTTGCAAATAAGAGGGTTTTAGCCGTATAAGCCTATGTTTAAACCTGGCTTGGAGGTCTTGTGCCTACAGGCGCTGACATCCTCGGGGCACTGTCTATTTGCCAGGTCTAATATAGATATTTTTAAAACTTTATTTATTTATTTGTTTGTGTTTTCAAGACAGGGTCTCACCATGTAGCTCTGGCTGTCCTGAACTCACTCTGTGGACCAGGCTCAAACTCACAGATCCACCTATCTCTGCCTCCTGAGTGCTGGGATTAAAGGTGTGTGCCATCACGCCTGGTTTATTATCTTTTTTTTTTTAAGGATTTAACTTTGTTTTATGGGTCTTTTGCCTTCATGCATGTCTGCACCACCTTCATGCAGTACCTGCAAAGGCCAGAGGAGAGAGTCAGATTGAGCCACTGTGTGGGTGCTGGGAATGGAACCCAGGTCCTCTGGAAGAACAGCTGGTTCTCCTAACCACTAAGTCACCCTTCCAGGCCCTAGAATGGCTGTCTTTGTGTATGCTTTCCCTTCCCCTCAGAACTCTATTCCCCTAGATCTTCTAGATAGAGCTTGGCTTGGTGGCACTATGGTGGAAAGCATGGACTGTCTGGATATAAATCCCAGCTGTGTATGTGGCTGCAAACAGAACCCACATCACCTTATCTGCTTGCCCCTGTAAGCTGGTAAAAGGCATTATTCAGTTTGGCAGGTCCCATCTGGAGGTCCTCTGGTCCTGGGTGAGGATGTGGAGCAAGAGCGTTCCTGGTCTGGGCCTCATGCTGTGCTTCAGAGGGTGGGACTGCAGCCAGATTAGAAGTGGGATGCTGAGCCCCAAGTAGACAGGCACCCTGGCCAGAGATGGAGAGCTAAGATAATGCTCCAGCAGTTCACTTTCATTCTGATGAGGGCAGTGCTGCTCATTGTTTTGTGCTCTGCCCAGTGAAACCACCCGCTTCCTGGCTGACCTCATGGGGATAAGCCACCGGGGCTCAAGCCCAACCTTGCCAGTGTACCCTTACAAGCCTTGCCCTGCCCTTCACTGGGCCTTTGTTGGCTGAGGTGGGCCAGTAGTCTGACCAAAGTGGGCCTGGCTGGACCATGCCCCTTTTTCTTTGTGTTGGGAGCACAGGTGTTAGAGAAGTTGGAAAATGTACTAGCGCAGTCCAGTTCTCTTGAGACACCGTGGAGGATATGGTCCCAGGGGCTCCCAGCCCCAGAGGCACCTTTGGTGGCGGGAGCCTAGAGCTGCCCATCCTCCCTGGTCCCTGCTCTTCTATTCTGCCTTTGCCTGCCAGACCCCTGGAGATGGCTCAGTTGTCATGCTTGACTTAGCCTCTTTGCAGAAATAGATTACCAAAGGATGAAGGCCATGTGATCCAATTAAATGATTAAATCGGTTAAAGGTGTACTTAAAAAAAAAAAAGGCTTTAAAAAATAATTTCTCCCTAAAAAAAAAGTTTTTTTTTGAGCTAGTCAAATGTAGTCCAGGCTAACCTCAAACTTACTATGTAGCTGAGGTTGACCTTGAACTTCTGATCCTGCTGCCTCCTCCCCAAAGCTGAGATTACCAACCAGTGCCATCACCCTGGCTCTTGTGTTTTCTTTATAGAAACATCTACCCTGCTCAGAGGGCAGAGAACATTGTTAACCCAGCTCACTTAATCCAGTGATGCTTGTTAGATACTTCTTAGGGCCAAGGATGGAACCTGAGCAGAACAGCAGACCCTTGGCAGACAGTTGTAGTGGATCCTAGTCGTCCTCCTCAGACATCACTGATGGATCCCAGCCCTCCTCCTCAGACATCACTGATGGATCCCAGCCCTCCTCCTCAGACATCACTGATGGATCCCAGCCCTCCTGCTCCTTGCACCTATATGTTTGCTATTAAGTCTGTGGAGACTCTGCTCCAGTGAACCTCTTTTGATCTGTGAGATGTTCTTGCTGACTAGAGGCAGGCGCCTGTGCACAGGGCCCCCCATCACAGTCCCATGATCCCTGGTTCAGCCTGTCATGTCACGTGGCCCTTCACTTCCCTGTTTGCCCTCAAGCTTGGTTCCCTAATTTGTCTGCTGGCCCAGCGGCCTGCAGCTCGTTTTCAATTTTGTAAAATTGCATCGAGTGAGTGTAAGTGAGCTTGTGTGTGCACTGATCACACGGCTCACGCGCAGGTCAGAGGACAACCTGCAGGAGGCAGTTGGCTCCTTCCGCCATGGGGGTGCCACATCTAGGAATTGTGGCAAAGCACTTTGGCCCACCGAGCCGACTCATCGGCCTGTAGCTGGCTCCTTAAAGGCACCAACCGAGCCCCATTTTACTCATGAACTTGAGATGGCATCCCTAGACTGTCACACCTGGTTGGGAGCATGGGCTGTGGAGGTTTGGACAGGCCTAGGGGCCATTCACAGCTCAAGTGTGCATTGTGTGGCCATGGCCAAATGACCCTCACCTCTCCGGGCCCTGCCATCAACAAAAGCAAGACGATGAAGGCACCTTTGGAGAGAGTTAACTAAAAGAATACCTGGGAGAACTTAGCAGAGTGCTAAGGAAACATGGTACCATTAAAT